ATAAATAGAAAATCAAGATTATAATTTAAAGAACTGTTTATAATACAAACCCAACATTTAATTTGATTTTCACTAAATTGTCGATTTGTAACAATAATAGCAAAGACAGTTAAAATAGCGACTGTATGAGAATAATTTAATCGATCAAAAAAATCATCATCGAATTTATTATATGCTACTATTTCAGGTAAACGACGTATTAATCCAAGTATATCCATCTATGTAAATTATTAATCGGCTCAATCAATCAACTAGAATAAAGATATAGAATATGTCTAACCATTTTGTTCTCTTTTCGGTATAATGTCATCTATATCTATATATATGTATACAAAGTAAAACAGACAACTAATTATGAGTGATGTTTTTTCTTATTAGTATATTCTATTGCTTCCTTTTTTTTCTATCTATAAAAGACTGAAATGAGTGTTAATCTTCTAGTCTACTTCTATAACCATCATTTAGAAATGACAGTTGATTGCATCATAGACAAGAGAATAAAAAGAATTTGTAGTTTCTCCCACTCTTCATATGTCGGCGACCAACGATCATCAATCGATCAAGTGTGACAGGTTTAATACAGCATAGCTTGATGTGATTTAGTAACTACTCTCTCTCTCTGTCTCTGTCTCTCGTCTCTGGATTATATCATTCATTCGGAATAGTGTGCTTGATTTACTTCCCGAGCAAAAAAAAGCATGTTTTATTGGTGATAAAGCCAACTAAACAGGTGTTTCTTACCCACATTCTTGGCATTTTTAGTTACTGTTAATCTGACATAGTGTACAAGTTGAGAAAAGCAGAAGGGCGGTACTAACATATTGCCGCTTAATGATTACATTGATATGTGTCTGTGATTACAACATAGTACTATTCGTTATCTAGTCGTCAGTGTGCGTTAAACATGAGAGAACTATAGCGTATCATTATCATTATAAACAAAGTAGAAGTACATATTGCTATAGCTAGTGGCAAGTCTTTCATCACATTCTTCCTTGTCTATGTTATTGTTAATAGAATGATTGACCAGTTGGAAAGAAACAGAAGTTGCAACAAATTAAATGGTATGGTATGACAGTATATATCAGTACTAATGCAATTTTTCGATAGACTAGTGATGGTTGTCGTTTTCTGTTCCGCTTTCTTTCTCGCTTTCTTTTTCACTTAATGAGAAAGAACCGGACATACAATTTTGTTTTACGACAATGACGACGAAGCGAAACAATTATTATTGAGTTCAACGAAGATGGCGATTCAAATTAGTTTTATGGATAACTGTCGCAACTATGAACTATTTTCTCAATGAACATATATATACACATACATCACATAAGTATTGAGTTATATACGAACCGCATGCGTTGAGTCTTCTATGAGAGCACAAAAAAA